ATATTTAATATAATAATATATAATACTAATATACTGGAACTAACCTGGAAAAATAAATATGAAAGTCAATTAAAATATAAAACAGGAGATAAAGTTCTCCTTATTTAATTTAATTGGTACATGTTCAGTGTATTTATTTAGTGGTTCATATAATCCTGCTTTTATTTCTAATTATGTCAGTGTTGGTCGTCCGTACTGCAGAAGCCTGATAATCATATATTCATCCATATCAGGTGTGTTGGAGCAGAGAAAGAAGTAAAACCTGCAGGGCTGCAGACCTCCAGGACCAGGACTGACCATGCCTTTCCTATAAGATGAAAGGAAATACTGGTGCTCTCCTAAATATAAACAAGTCCAAACCCCACATTTTATTTTAATGCAATCGCCAAGTGTCTGGTAAAAGCCGAACATGGAGTACAACACTTTCTAGAGGAAGCATTAGACTAATGTAATCCATGTAAACAGCTCGGGGGAAGCAAGCAGGAAGATAATCAGGTTAGAGTTGGTGAAACACACAAGCGAGGCAACACAAATTGGCCTGGAGAAGAGGGAACCTATTGCACAAAAGTGCTGTTGTGTTACAGCAGCGCTGGCTGCACATCCTGCAGATTCTGGCCACCCCCTGTGGTCATTAAAGCTAATGAGTTCAGGCTCTCAACACCACAGTGGTTGTCAGCACCGCGTCCACCCAACCACAGCAATACGACCAGCAACCAGGAGGCTGTGGCAATCAGAACATGGGAAATGTGAATCGTAGTTTGAGAGAACCGTTTTACTGCCACCGTTTGGCTGATTGGGTACGTTTGGATGAATTTCTAACGGCACACACTGGTGTCAGACAAATCATGTATTTATTGTGTGTTTTACTGCATGTATTTTACTGGTCAACACCGCTACTTAAATGTAATTTGTTTCAACCTGACTGCATGCTTTTTTAAGAATGCATAACATCAGACACAGTAACCCACTGCTGAACACCATCTGAGTTATACTTACAACATAATTCCAATAATGTGAATGATACAGGATTTTTATTAAATGGATACTCAAATACTAATATACAGTGCAAGTCAAAAGTCAATGGATGTCCTTTTAGTTTGATAAAATATGACAGCTTTCGAGAMGGCGGCCATGTTCTGGACATAGCCTAAAATATATAGGCCATTATTAAAAAAAAGCATTTTCCCTTTTCATTCTGAAACAAAAGGCATGTCCTGTATCTTTTGACTCACCCGATTGCTTGACTGGGATCGATAAATCAAATCATCTAATCTGTGTCTGGTCAACGATAGAAGAATTCACCCACAGAAATCATAGGAATTCAATTGTAAAGGTTAATAAACAGTGGTGGGCACCAGCCCGCTAAAGCGCAAATCCGCTAATTGCGGACCTAAATATTTTGTTTGCACTTTAGCGGTCTTACTAATTTATATAATTCATAAGTGGATTTGCACTTTCTAAATTAAAAAGCAGTACCACTAATAACTAATTATCTACCAGTCATCATTATGTTGAACAGCAGAAGGTATGACTGTCAATGAATCACAACATGTGATCTATCCAACAGCACCCCTCCCAGATAAACACACTTATTGTGAAGGTACACATCCTGCTGACTGTTGCTTTGGGTCACGGTTCTGATTTCCCACAATGCTTTGTGTCTGCTTACGTAGCAGGAAGGTAATGTTTAGAACTCCCTGTCCCTTCAGTCTCAATAGTTTTACAGTGGTTCATCCAAACACTATTTTAAAACTTACACGGCTGTCAGTCTGGAACTAAAGGTAATTCTGGCAGAATCTTATGTGAAATAGACAATGATGTAAAGACTTTAAAATAGTAATCGCTTAAAACACTAAAACGTTTCTTAGACTGGAGTTATTACCTCCGCCAAGGGTGAGGTAATGTTTTTGGTCGTGTCTGTCTGTCTGTGGACAACATTCTTAAATCCAAATTTTGGTCACTCAAAGACGTATTTACAACAAAGTATTTATTGTTCAAAGCCTGTCTGGATAAGCACACTTCAAAACAACAAAACTATTGCTGTAAGACTCAGTTTTCCTGACATTAAAAGATACTTCCTCCTGTGGAAGACGTACCTTAAACTCCATGGGTGTGTACTTCTCATTCTTTGGTGTGGTGTTGCCCTTGTAGTTGAGGTGGTTTGGGGTGGTGGGGTGAATGATGGCGGACTCTTGTGAGGGCTTGTGGAAACGCTGACAGTACACATAGATTAGGAAGGACAGTAGACCCGCCCCGAGGAAACAGGAAACACCGGTGGCAATTAGGTGGATGGAGGTGAACGCTGGAAAAARCAAGATGTCAGATTATTAGTAAAAACTGACCGTATATCTCATCACAGGTTCAATACTTTTACCTTGTTGATCTTGAGGTACTCTACAGAGCTCAGAAGGATTCTCAGATGACAGGAGGGTTCTTACTGAGACATAATATTTTCTGACTATTATTTTGTCTCTTAATAATTGGGTGCACTCACTAGCTGAGTTTCCATTACAAATGTGCGCAAAACTTTGTCAATATTCTATTAATGTCAAAAAACACAGTTTTGCAACTGCAGTGTTTCCATTAAGTAAGAAATGTTATTAAAGTCACGTGAATACGTTTGTTCTCATGATAAGTCCTTACAAACATGGCGGCGATGGATGTAAACACATAGCATGTTGCTACCACGACACTAGCGCTCATCATCAGAGGAGACGTCGGCGTCTTTTATCGAGGCTTTCCAGAGACAAGTCCCTACTTGGGAGCGGCTACGTATGCTGTGTTTTTGGGAAATTGTAGTCGGTGAGTTTACTACTTTATACTACTTCTGTGATATTACTACTATTTCTACTTCCTGTTATCTTCTTTGTTGTTGAGCACGTGACTCCCATGATGCGAAAAAAGTGTTTCCATTGTAGTTTTGCGAAAAACACCAATTTCCATACGACTGAAATACCACCTCATACTAGCGCAAAAACATTTTGTCGAAAAATGTAGTTTTTTTTAAATTGATGTGTTTCCACTGAGCAAATTTATTTTCGAAATTCTAATGTGCGCGTTATGGTCAATGGAAACGCAGCTACAGATTCTCAGCTAGTCTGGGAACACCTTGGGATTCCCCCAGAGGAGCTGGCCCAAGTGGCTGGAGAGAGGGAAGTCTGGGTCTCTTTGCTTAGACTGCTGCCCCTGCTGCCCCTGCATCCCGACCCCGGAGAAGAGGTAGAAAACAGACGGATGGACCCCAAGGATGTGGGGTCCTGATTAATCAGGAACAGGTTCACCTGCTGCAGACTGATGTATTTAAAAAGAAGCTGAGCAGGTTTTAATTTGCCCAATTAGTGTTTGGTGAAAATCTGGACTCACAAATCTTTTTAGCAACAATCTTTCCACACTCACTCCTCTTGTTGAGTTTCTGCTGCTGCCTAAGAAATTCAGTCTTCAGTTAATTATCAGCGGGTTTCTTCCTCATGTGTTCCATGATCTTAGTTGTTTCATCCTGTATAGTGACTCTGATGTGTCACTCCTTTCTCTTAATCTCTGTCTCCATTGTCAATTCTCACTCTGTTCGGTTCATATCTGTTCTGCTCTCAGGTGTGTGTGCACACGTCAGTGTCCCTCTCTCTGTGGGCAGATTGTCAGCATGCACATTCGGCCGTTGTGGTGAAACAGGAAAGAGAATGTGGTGGAAATATTTATTCAAAGGCAGAAACACGTGAATAAAAAGAAGATGCACTGCGTGAGTGGTCGTTGAATGATTTAATAAAGGTTTTGCAATTGCAAGAGAGCTCTGGGCACACCGCAAACTGGCTAGCAGAGCCTCCGGAATGGGTTTTTACATCTGGGTGGAGCATTGAACAACCAATGACAGAGTGACAGGTTTTACAGTAGCTTCAATGTAGAACAAGGACATGAGACATTCGAGGTGCCTTCCAATCGTGAAGACAGATTATGACAAATCATAGCAGTTATCAAAAGATACAAAGTGAAATGTCAAGGCGGTATGAACTTAAATAATCAGGTATCCAGGGAGGTATAATTATTTTCTAGCACAGAGAAAAAAAAGCTGTTGTGATTTTATAGTCTGGTTGTCTGACTTTTTTAAAAAAAGACTATTATCATTTTAAACAATACTTGGTTCTACCTGTTTAGAACCACCTTGGAGGTGGTCCTGAAAACACAGTTGGAACCAAAAATGGAGACATATTTGGCCAAGGCCAAACTAAGGAGAACTGCATACAGGTGCTCCAGAGGAGAGCGGTTTTTAATGTATGGTCTCAGAGTACTGGACGTGGTATTAGATCTTTTTTGCGTTAAGAAGAGCTTTTGAGTAGGGGATTATGATGTTATCAGTCCATGAAATGGATGTTATTAGGCGTTATCAGTCCCATACAATGACTTCAGAGAGTCCCTACTGTGCCTTCTAAGCTTCAGACTGTCCTGACAGTGCACCCTAGTGGGTTAATATATTAATGAGAATGAATGTGTAAATAACTAAAACATATTGTAATAAATTTTTTGTGTCGTCGGGCTCAAGCCCTGGTCTCCCACTCTCTGGTCCGACACTCTACTCATTGCTCTATTGAGAGGCCACAATATACATTCCTCGGAGGTTAGTGCTAACCATGTCATCTGCTCTAAGGTTAACCTTGGTGGCTTTTAGCCTCATATTAACCAGATTTTTTTATGCCTCATATTAACCAGATAGTGGTTTTATGCCTCAAATTAACCAGATAGTGACTTTATGCCTCATACTAACCAGCTGACGATCGGAAGCCATTCTATGAGACTGATAACTTCCGAAGCGGGTGCTTTGAGTCTTCATATCTGTGGCTTCTGTCTCCTCCTTTGGGCAGGCTATTGTACCAGTTGGGTATCGGATGATCGGTATTGCATACATGTTGATGGCCCAAACTTTATTCTCGCCATTCAACTGGCTCTTGAGGGCCTGCCATACTCTCTGTAGGTACTTGGTTGTGGATGACTTTGTTATGGCCTCATCATGATTGTCATTTGTCTGAGGGATTCCAAGGTGTTTGTAGCTCTCCTGGATTACAATGTTCTCTTGAGGTAGTTCAACCTCTTCAGTTGTAATCACCTTGCCACTCTTGAATTTCATCTGGCTGCATTTATTCATTCCAAATGATGTTCCAATGTCCTTGCTATATGTCTTGTTGAGGTGGATCAGTGATTTGATGTCTCACTCTTTATTGGTATACAGCTTAGCTTTACGTCATCCATGTACAGTACAGACCAAAAGTTTGGACACACTATGAATGTGGAATTATATACTTAAAAAAGTGTGAAACAACTGAAAATATGTCTTATATTCTAGGTTCTTCAAAGTAGCCACCTTTTGCTTTGATTACTGCTTCACACACTCTTGGTATTCTCTTGATGAGCTTCAAGAGGTATTCACCTGAAATGGTTTTCACTTCACAGGTGTGTCCTGTCAGGGTCAATAAGTGGGATTTCTTGCCTTATAAATGGGTTTAGGACCATCAGTTGTGTTGTGCAGAAGGTGGAAACAGTACACAGCTGACAGTCCTACTGAATAGACTGTTAGAATTTGTATAATGGCAAGAAAAAAGCAACTAAGTAAAGAAAAACGAGTGGCCATCATTACTTTAAGAAATGAAGGTCAGTCAGTCTGAAAAATTGGGAAAACTTTGGAAGTGTTCCGAAGTGCAGTTGCAAAAACCATCGAGCGCTACAAAGAAACTGGCTCACATGAGGACCGCCCCAGGAAAGGAAGACCAAGAGTCACCTCTGCTGCAGACGATAAGTTCATCCGAGTCACCAGCCTCAGAAATGGCAGGTTAACAGCAGCTCAGATTAGAYAACAGGTCAATGCCACACAGAGGTCTAGCAGCAGACACATCTTAAGAACAACTGTTAAAAGGAGACTTTGTGAATCAGGCTTTCATGGTAAAATAGCTGCTNGCCTCCACATGGACAAACAGGTTAGTCACATGCAAGAGAGGGCCATCGCCTAACATTAGGCTTGATTAGCTGTATTTAGTCACATTTCTTTTTGAGTTTTTCTACCTGGATTACTGAGATACATCAGGACATTAACATGAAAAGCTTTGCTATGGATTTCTCTCTGGAGCTCTTTACTAAAGCAGTCAGTTCAAATACATCACGCAAGGCTTTGATCAGCTCTTATTGAACACCGTGTGTTTTTCACATTTTTAACATCAACTAGTGTCAGATAAACGTAAAAGCCAGAGTTTGTCTTTCTGTCATCATCATTCTGATTTTTAGTATCCAGATGCAAAGAACACAGGTTTGACTGGTGTTTTTAGGAACCATCTAAAAGTGATGGTTAAACTGGGCATCATAATGGATATGAACAGRCTTACTACATTATGGTAATCCAAACTGGAATTACACATGTTGAAAATCGTGGCACATGCTGGATTATATTTAAAGCTGCTGTTCGACGCACCGACTATGGTCAAGTGTTTGTGTTTTTGGAACCATAGAAAGTAATAAACCGTTTCAAAGWAGACATTCATTATAACTGCTGACTGATGTGCTTTTCATTTTATTCAGCAGCATTTTACAGAGCATATGAACACCTCTCAAAAGGGTTTTAGGGTTGTTTTGTCAAAAGTTGAAGGTGATTACCAAAGGAAAAATATACATAGTCACTTTACATTTCTCATTTTTCACAATGAAATACTGCATTTTACTTTCTGTAGAGTTTATTTAGTGTCCAAAAAAGCTTTTTTTATTTTGTATAAACATGCATACAACAAGGAAAAAACATGAAAAAGGTTAGTAAGTGTGGTGGAACTAATATTTTTATGTTTAAGCAAGTAATTCATGACATCCTTTAATGACCTAGGTTTTCATGACATGCTGTTCATCTGCAGACAGAATGATTAAAGTCAGAACAAGATTTGCTAACAACAGTCATTCTTAGATATCACTTGTGTTTATCTTTGTGT